TAATATAATATAATATAATATAATATAATATAATATAATATAATATAATATAATATATAATTAATATAATATAATAATATTCTAACCAATTTGTGAGGTGAGTTGGACTGAGAGTGACAGGCCCCAAATTAAATAAGTTCATGGAAGGCAGAGTCTGTAATTCTGGCAGTTCTGTTTAGATGGCTAGAAAAGCAAATTAGAAAATATGTACCTTAGGGATTAAGGAAAGCATAATGTTTAATTTATTGATATTTATATTTCATGTTATCTCCAAGAAGCTAAAGGTACACATGGTGAGGTCTTTCTCACCATCAGCCTCATGTCATCATCGCAACAATGTCATCATGGATTAGATTAGAATTATTATATATTGGAATTTTATCCCAGACCTAACATTTTAGTTAAGGAGTCTGTGTCAAATTACTTTCATTTAATAGATTGAGTCTTATTTAAAATAAAAGGAACATTAGTAGCCTACTTTTGTAATGTTGTTAAATTTCTTTACATCTTCAATAAGATGCCAATTTTCGTCAGGTTTAATTTAAATGTTTCATCCATAAAATAGTATTATCATACGATTTACATCACCCTCGTGGCCACAAAATTAAGTTATACTTTCAATTATTTACATATTAGCCTGATGAAAAAGACATTTAGCTAATGAGGAATTAAAAACCTTAAGAATAATAGTGCTGCCTAATTATCCCTGGCAGCTGAAACATTTCAGCTACAATCACTAGATTACAAGTTTGCTTTCTTGTCAAAGTTTCTTTTAACTCTGCCCCAAACCAATGTATCTCTGGGATTGTGTGTCCTATGGCCTGATCAGTTTTTACAATGAAGATTATTCCTTGCTCCATTTTTCAGCACAATAATTTATCCTACGGTAGCCGTGTACATTTCTTGAGATATATGGAGCATTCATTTATACTACATTGTTCTGCAGCTAAAATTAAGCAGTTAGAACCAGTTCATGATTATGTTATCTCCACTGCTAGGTAAATATGATGTCATCCTCAACCTGTCCTCATCACACTTTAACCAGGTGAAACTGGCAACAGTTCTAGCATTTTGCCCTTCTAGCCCAAATGATCAGTCCACAACACATTTCCAAAGATATCCACTAAAAAGAAAGTAATTGGTGCTTGATTTCCAGCATGAATGAGATGGGTAAGAAGCAGGAAAGTCCACCAATCAAGGATAATGAAAATTGCTATGGTACCCAGACATACCCCTGGTCAACATAGTTGCCAAAACCTGAAATCCATAATGCTTTTTAAAAACCAGTTTCCTTTATAACCAGTTGTAAGATGTAAGCAACTTAGCAGGAATAGCATCCTATCACTGATCACTGGGTAGATGGCTCTCCTCAGGAAGAAGAATGTTAAAAATATAACTTTTCATAAAAGAACTAATTTAGAAGCAAGAGGTTCAAAATTCTTTAATACAGATTAAATAAAGATCAATCCATTCACTAATACAAAGATGCTAATGTGATGCCTAATAACTCTCTTATGCATAGTCACCATCACATTTTGGGCTTCTTTATTTTATTTCAATATGGAAATGAAACTACATTGTACTGTAGTTCCGAAAATCTCATGAGGTAATTATTTTTTTAATCTTAAAAATATCACAAGATTTGTTGTTTTGTCTGTCAAAAAATAGAGTAACCTGGCCATTTACTTTATTGAAATTTTATTTCGCCAAAACAAAATCTATCCTTTCTTTTTTTTAAAAATAAGAGTTTTAAGACTCAATTATTTTCAGGACGCACCCTTCATATAATCATATTGAAATGACTGAAAACATTTGTCTAATAACATATGTATCTACAGGTAGTCCTCTGCTTATGATCACAATTGAGTTCAAAATTTCTGTTGCTGAGACATTTGTTAAGTGAATTTTGCCCCATTTTATGACTTTTCTTGCCACAGTTGTTAAGTGAATCACCAATTATTAATTTAATAACACAGTTGTTAAATGAATCTGGCTTCTCCATTGACTTTGCTTGTCAGAAAGTTGCAAAAGGTGATCACATGATTCCTGGACATGGCAACGGTCATAAATGTGTCAATTCCCAAACATCCAAATTTTGATCACATGACCAACAGGATGCTGCAATAGTCTTAAGTATGAAAAAGGGTCAAGTCATTTTTCAGTGCTGTTGTAACTTGAACGGTCACTAAATAAACTGTTATAAAAGTTAAGAGCTACCTGTAATTCCTAGGATCAATAAAAATGAGGAAACTACTTCAGTATTCATTAATAGTGAGCATGCTATCAAAAATGTGTAGTATAAAAGTTTGCTAGTTGGAACCCAGAGGGGAAATAATAAAAGGGATGAACATTTTTTCAAAATAAAGACTTAAGGTTTTCTAACTTTAACTTTCCAACAGCATATATAAATTGTACATCAGTATTATACAGAAGAGAGAGGTTAATTTAAAATCTGTGTATCTTATACTTAGCAACAGTATAGATCTACTGCCTAACAAATCAGGATAATTGAAGAGGTGCTGACAGCTGAATTTCCTGGCAATGATCATTATAAGGGAGACGTGCATGCATCCAAAGTTTAAGAATACATGTGTTGTGTTATGAAGATTGCTTTGCTTTCCTCCTTAATCTTTTAATTGGATTGGACTGGAGTAGAAGTGAAGGGGGCATTGGAGAGTCTCTGCAATGAAAAAGCCAAACGAATATCTTATCCATTGCCATTGCTAGACCTGCAGAAAAAGACATGTAAATGTTTTGGAAGCACAATCATACTGTTTCTACACCATCATCTGACACTGCAACGTGACCCGTCAAAACCGCGGAGGACAAAATCGCGCTCGCCGAAAGTCCGCATGTGACGTCATCACAGCGCGACGAAAAAAATTAAAAATTGAAATAAAATTAAAATTAAAGCAAGCCGATTCACATAAAGGTAAGGGTTAGGTTTAGGGTTAGGGTTAGGTTAAGGGTTAGGGTTAGGTTTAGAGCGTTAGGGTTACGTTTAGCATTAGATTAAGGGTTAGCGTTAGGTTTAGCGTTACGTTAACGGTTAGGTTTAGGGTTAGATTTAGGCTTAGGTTAAGGCTTAGGTTTAGGTTTGGGGGGGGTTAGGGTAAGGTTTTCGCTTTATTTTTACATTTTTCAATCATAGCGCGATGTTTTCGTCGCGCTGTGATGACGTCAAATGCGCGCTTTCGTCGAGCGCGATTTTGTCCTCCGCGGTTTTGTGGTGGAACCACACTGCAACAGCTAGGCTACTTAGTATTGTTAATGTTGTCACTTGGGGCACTGGGAAAAAAGACAGGACTTTCCTAGCAATTTACCATTGAAAATATTCTGTAGTATTCTCACACATTCACACACTGACTGAAAATGTGCTTGGGAATCTTTAAAAGAATAATAAAGAAAGACATGTGATTTACATTTATTTTCCACAAGGCTTCTGGTATAAAAGTCATTTAAAGTACATTGCAATTAAAGAAGAATGCTAAAGATTTTTGAAGGTTTATTTTCAAGGACTCAATAATTAAATCACCCATTTCCAGTAAAATAAGAACTATTTGTGCTTTATTGATTTTATTCTTTTATATAAAATAATATTGACTGAGTAATGTGTATGAGTTAAAACAAATCTATTATGAGGTGAAAACTGGTAGAAAAGAAAAGAAAATGTGAGTAAAGTGCTTATTGGCTACTGGCTTTAGATAACAAAAATGTAGAATAATTACATACTTCTCCAGTAACCATTCTAAAAGAAAATAAGAAAATGAACAAAATGTAAATTATGCTTTTAATTGGATATATATCTCCAATAGAATACAAAAACAGTACATAGCACACAGCCTACTCTTTGCACAACTTTTCAGTTTAAATCCTAATAAATTAAACTACTGAATTGAAATTCTATAATTTTTTATCTAGATGAAAAATGTTGCCCAATACATTTAGACAGCACTATGGAGGAGGGAGGGGATTTCTCTAAAAAACAACAAAAAGCTGGTAATAGTTGTAATATTGTGTGATTCATCTCTTTTTATTTTTTCCAATTCAAAGCAAATTCCTAGCAATTCCTATTCCATACTTCTAGAATACTTATTGGTGAGGTTTCTTCTACATAAACTGTAAGTGGGAAATAGCTATTGTCAAGTTACTTCCCACTTGTATACTTTGGGGAACAATAGTGTTATCATAAAATTATCTTAATAAAATCGAAACCATATAAGCAGTTACATTATAACCTCTGTATCCACACTTGATACTTTCACTCCTCTCTCCAGGGAACGGCTTCCAGCCTGCTTTTTCAATTTCCAGTTCAAGAATGTTGAATACAGTTCAGGAAGAAACAAGACCTTCCTATGCTACATCATAGAGATTCAGGGCAAGGAGTCTAAAATCTTAAGGGGCTACCTGGAAGATGAACATGCAGCAGCCCACGCAGAAGATGCCTTCTTCAATACCATCTTGCCCAAGTGTGAGTCTGGCTTGCGCTACAGTGTCACCTGGTACGCCAGTTGTAGCCCCTGTGTAGGCTGTGCTGATCGGATAGTTAAAGCACTTCAGAAGAATAAGAACCTACACCTCTCCATTGCAGTAGGTCGTCTATTCATGTGGGAGGAACCTGACATACAAGCTGCCTTGAAGAAAATGAAAACAGCTGGTTGTAAATTGAGGATCATGAAACCTCAAGATTTTGAGTATGTCTGGCAAAACTTTGTAGAGCAGGAGGAGGAAGAAGAAGCAAAGAAGGCATTTACACCCTGGGAAGACATTCAAGAGAACTTCCAATTTTATGATGAAAAGCTTGGTGAACTTTTGCACTGAGGTTAGTGTTAAGTGTGATTTTGAAATTTCCCTGTTTAGGGTACTTTTTCAGACCATCATAAACTTAATTTTGGTTTTTAATATAGCAGCTTTGGGCAGATTAGAGCACATATCTCTGTATTTCACTGCAGAGGCATAGTGAATTCTGTTTTATCAACTGCTGGCACATTGAAGAACCAGTCTATTATTTATTCAAGAGACAGCAAGGGGAAATAAATGTCCTGGCAGTAGATTAATCAAGGGGAAACATTTAACTAAACTCTGACCCCAGAATAAGTATCAAGAATTCAAGTCTTGTATATCAAACATAAGAACACTAGAGCTGAAAAGGCACAAAAGTAAAAAAGAAATTGACAAGTGATTTCCAAAGTTGCTTTCAGCTACAGCAGCATTCTCTCAGACTGGATTATGCACGAAAACATTCCATAGCTCAAATTGACCTCTAGATTAGAATTCTAATCTGCGTGTTTCACTAATCTCTAGCTATGTATTGTAATTCCCCAATCTTTAACACAGATTCTACATGGCTGCAGTATTTCTTTCCTGGTTTTCAGTCAACCATGGAAAAGTGGTGATCCTACTTCTTTGGTGAAAGACACGCAAAATACAGAGTTGCCCCTCTTTTTTAAAGACAACCCAATCTCTTTATTTCCTCTTTACAAGATTGTCTCTGTTCCAACCTGGACTCACAGATCCGTTTGTTTTTTCATAGTGCTTCTAGAGTCTTGATCCCAAGGAATCCATTCTATTTTCATTCTCACTTCCATATGGCAATAGCTCCATGTATCTATATTACGTAAGTTAGAAAAACTGATTGGTGGAAATGGCAAATGAATATAGGAATCAGTCTAACAAGAAGCCAAACGTATGATCTATCTATTGTAATTCAGTTTTTTTCAAACTTGACACCTTTAAAGTGTGGCCTTAACAGGCACCCATTGTAAAGCTGCCAATTTTGAAAAACACTGATCTAATTCAACAGTTGCAGCTGCTAACATTTCAGGGAGTGATACTTTAGTGGAATTGAAACACAACATATCTGGATGCAAAGGAATGCTCTAACACAAGGGTGAAAAAACTGGTAGCCATGGGCCAGATGCATCACAGGCCACGCCCACCCCAGCTCCACGAAGGCAAAAAACGTTGCAAAACGTCACGTGAGGGCAATGTGACGCAGCAAGTTTGACACCCGTGCCCTAACACTAAACTAGGTCTTTCTCCCTAATCCATCTGCTACAGAAATATCACAATCTATTATAGTGAAGCATTTTTCAAGTGGTACTGCATTTTCGGCAGTACAAATTCCATGCTGCAAATCACATCAATTTGAATCAGAGTATAAAAAAGAACATAAATAATATTTTAGAGTATTTTAATCAATTAAAACAAACACATACCCTAATTACAATAAAATTAACCTGGAATCTTAAAAGTGTACCATTAAATTAGTTTGTTTAGAAAATTTATTTGCTGCCTATCTCATATCCTACATATGGCAAAAATCTCAACCTCTATAAAATTATCAACAGGGATTTGAAGAAGCTATTATGAAAGTGTTTCTGGCTATATAAAGGGTGCCAAATGGATTTTATGATTTTAGAACAGTGAAGAAATCAAACCCCCTGCAAAATAAGGAATGTTTATATTAGTTATCCTATTTTGCAAGAAATAAAACACCATATTGCTGACAAAACCACTTTGTGTCTCTTTTTCTGTCTCTCCAGGGAAAAAAAATGTGCCAACCCATGGAGCAACAAGCATGATATACTCTTAACATTTGGGACTCTCAACTCAGTTTTCCAGGGCTGCTTTGAAACAGGAAACACCAGAAATCTCTAGCTGACGCACTGCTATGATAGACTAAAAATACATTTATTATGGTGCATGTAGGGATTTGATTTTTTTAAATACATAAACCTGCAGTGCTGTTGTTTACATAGAACAACAAAGAACAGTTCTATCACTTATAAGTTTAGAAAAGTCCCATTCAAAGAAACTTCAAAAAATAAATTTAACAATTGTGCATTTTTAACATTTTTTAAAATATGCAATGAATAGTAGGAGAAATCAAAGGGAAATATAATAGGGAAAGAGATTACTAATTATTTTATTGACAGTGGCCATTCATAAAATATTGGTTGAGGGAGGTAGATATATTTTTGCACTTGTGAACTGATTAGCATATATATTATTAAAAAGTTTGGTCTCTGTTAATCAATGAGAAGTTATTTCCTAATAAATGCTGGATCAAATGCTTATAAAATGTATTTAAAACATTTTTATTATAAATTTTGCGTGGAAATAGTCAAAAATTGTCCTCATATTCACACTAAATTATTTTATCTAGCACTCATTTGCTACTTTAGCAATATGTACTCTGTTAGAGAAACCACCTAAGCAAATCTGATCCAACATTCTATGATGTGTATGAACTTTTTCATGGAATGTTTAAATAGCACCCCTATACATTTCAACAATGGCCTGGGTGTACAGGAATAATTTTACATGTGTAACTGATATACTGAAGTATTTCAAAAGCATAAATACTTAAATCTCGTATTTGGAAAAGCTCTTTTATTTATATATGTGAACATCTGATTTTTTTAACATAACTTTCCACTTTATTCTAATCTCTTCCACATGATTGCCAATCTAGATCAAAAAATTTCAGTTATCAGTGTTTTTCTTAAAATATCATCTTCCAATTGCTAAATAGGCAATAGTTACACAAAGTATCTGAACACTAGAATGTACATTTTGACTTTTTTAAAAAAAAATTGAATAGAGCAGAAGATGACTTAAAGAATTGTGGATACTGGAATGAAGATAATTCTATCAGCCTATGCCAGCTAAGATACAAGGATATAACAACAAAGAGAAAGACAATTATACTAGGAATTAAAGAGTATAAACTGTAATATGAATATTTGTATCTTCAAATACTTCTTCAAGCATTGTTGAAACTTTCTTCCAGTCCAGGCGATCAAGTCCGCAACCAATCCTGAAATATAGAGTATACAAAGTGTCTTTTGGGGGTACTTTCTTTGAAACATTTATTTCACCATGATTTATAGGAAGCATATATGCAGTGCCAAAAAAGGATTAGTTCAAACCAACATATTAGGTGCAAATATGATACAATAGTAAACACATACCAAATATCTCAATTGTCACACTTATTGATTTACCTAAAAGAAACATCCCATTATTATTATTAGCCCACACGTAGAAAAAAAGGCTTGTGGCTCACAAAAATGAGTGTGTGTGTGTGTAACATTCTAAGAAACTAAAAATCATTCACTAGATTAGATATATCACTAAACTAAAATCTAGATTTTTTTAGAAACTCATCCATAATTTTGACCATGAAGCAGCTTCATTTTAGGTCACATTTTTCAAGCTATAGAAGTGTGATGCTCTGAGTATGTTTTCAGTTCAACAATTTTAAATTTAAATTTGAAGGTGTTATTAAATGGAAGATAATACTTTTAAGGATATACACACACACATACACACATATATACATACATAGTACATACATACATATCCTTAAAAAGTAGTATAGTATCTCCCATTTAATAACACCTTCAAATTTAATGAAAACAGGTCTTTTGCTTTAAATATACAAAAATATATTCTGAATGTGCTTAATCTAAAAGTCAGCAGCTCTTCCAGTTCTTTTGAACTTAAAGGCTTTAGAGCCTTTACAAAGACAAAATATTTGAATTAAATAAAAAAGTAGATTTTCAATTACTGAAAATTTGTTAATGTGTAAATATAGTATAGTAACTTTATAGTATAAACATGAGCTTACTTTGGCATAGAAATGTGAGTTACTGCATTTTTCAGACAATGGATTTTCATAGCTTCTAAACTCTTCCGTAAATTGTCATATGTAGGTTTATGAAAATATTTGTTCTTTGAGATCTAAAAAGTGGTAAAATGTAGATTAGACACATTTTAGATTTGATTCCTTTTATGTTGCATGCTATATATCTACTTAGAAAGCTCAGTCAATTCAGTGGGATTGATAAACATGTTTCAAATTGCAGCCTTAACCCAGGAACAAATCCAACACACTTTGCTTCTGGATAAACATACAAAGGATTGCAGATAACTAATATATTTAGGCCATGTATTAGATTTTAAATCTTTAAAATTAATGTTTATGAAATTAATAAATTAATTACTGTAATGGAATTCTGTAGACTGCATTGGTAAAGAGTCATATAATGATCCTCAAGTTTTCATTTATTATGTATTGCATCAGCCCCAACCTTTTGGGCACCAGGGACTGGTTCCATGGAGAGGTTTTTTCCACAGACCACAGAGGGCGTGATTTCACATGTTGCCTGCATCCTGCAGATGGGGTTTACTTGTTTGCGCAACCTGGTTTCTGGCATGCCGTGGCCCAGTTCCAGTCCATGGACCGGGGTTTGGGGACCCTGATATAGTGGTTAATATTAAGGGAATATTAAGTGGTTAATATTAAGGGGAAATTTTGGAAGCCTTTATTTAAGCCAATGAAAGAGAGATCATAAGAATATACTATCTTACATAATCAATCTGGAAAACAAAATAAAAAAGGCATGCTTTAATTTATTTTTAATTTGAGACTTAGGTTCTAATCCTGAAAAAATATGTGCCTGCAAACTGGAAACCAGTGATCTAATTACATCATTATAACTTTAAATATGTTAAAAATAAATTGCCATATGTAGACTTATGAAAATATTTGTTCTCTGAGGTTTAAAATGATAAAAATATGGATTACACACTCTTTAAATTTGATTCCTGAGATAGGAATCATTTGTCAAGAATCCTGGACAAATATTGACATTTTGTGGTGAAATAGCAAGGTCATTTTAAAAAATAGAGAAATAAATTATTTTGTGTTATACAATCATACTGACACTGAATTCCATCTCCTGACAGAATTTTAAAATAATAGTTGGGAAAACCGTGATTATCTGATGTCAATTGAAAACTTATTAGATAGTAATAGCAATAGCAGTTAGACTTATATACTGCTTCATAATGCTTTATAGCCCCCTCTAGACAATTTACAGTCAGCATATTACCCCCAACAATCTGAGTCCTCATTTTATTGACCTCAGAAGGATGGAAGGCAGAGTCAACCTTGAGCCGGTGAGAATTGAACTGCAGGCAATCATCAAAATTAACCTGCAATAGTGCATTCTAACCACTGTGCCACCACGGCTCATCTCTCATGCCACAAACATTGCATTTGTATAGCAATTCCTTCAGAGAAACTATTAAAAATTTCAGCAATATATATATATATATT